TAGATAGATAGATAGATAGATAGATAGATAGATAGATAGATAGATAGATAGATAGATAGATAGATAGATTTCCTTAAAAATGCCTCTCTCTTCAAACTGGGTTTGAAAACATGAACTCCCTGAAAATAAAGAAATGTAAATGTTTGTTGATCAGTCTGTGTCATCCTCATGTTTATGTGGGAGCCCTGTCAAAAACCTGCCTGTTATGCCAGAAGTGTCCAGGCATTCATTTCTTTTCATTCTGTCATACTGCYCCCATGCAATGATGCAGAGCCCCCCACCCCCTATTAACTGAACATGTTTTTGTTTTGGTTTGTTTTTTTTTTTTTTCTAATTAAGGAAACTGGAGTGTCCTTTTCCTCTTAAATAACACAATACTGTATATCCCAAAGTTTCACTGTTTRCCCTAAATAAATAGGTTTTATATTGAACATGAAAAGATTTGTCAAAATAAGAAACAAGAGGAATGTAGACTTTATAACCRATTTCACAAATGTTCAACATGAACCGCCTGTGACACGACAAGCGTTAAATCTGTAGTCCAGCTCCTGTCAAACACACAGCAGCATCTTTTAAACTATACTTTTTTTGTGTCTAAATCAGATTTTCAGTTGGTTYGTTTTTCTTGAATTCGCTTGAAAATGCACTCCACACAGTTTTTGTTTGACTGTGTTCAAACATTCTAACTCTAAGTGCTTTTTTTTATTTGTAGTAAACATCAGTCTGTAACTGAAAATAAATACAATAGACATAGGTACGTTAAACATTTTGTTAATGGGAGATCATTTGAGGAAGAATACGCTATTAGACTATGAAATAATGAAAATTATTTGGGACTACCTGTATTATAAACCTAAAATTAGTTTTTGTTTTTATTTAAGCGAGCCAAATGAGATAAAATCATATATCAGTTTCAGTTGTTTCAGAAAGCACACACTCTGCACAAATTAATGAGTCTCATCAGTTGAGATATTGGTTTTATTCATATGATGCATTGGTTTTAAAAACAGTCCCAACCAAAAAATGGTTAAATGTCTAGACTCTTGTGGTTTTTCAGCAGCTTCGATGTAGACAAGAATCATTTCCTGAATCTTCTCATCTGTCTGTGTGCATTGATGTACATTTGTTCTTAACTSTCTTTTTCTTTTGTTTCTTCCTGCAGTGCATTATGGGGCTGACCTGGCGACTCCCATTAACATCGACACGTCCGCTCGCTCTCCGAAGGAAGTCAGCGACCAGCTGTGGCAGTTTGTCAGCACAGAATGGTAGATAGAAAGACGCTAGAGATGTTTTGTTTGTTTGTGTACATACTAATTTGTACTGTCATACGCATCATTTATAATTTCCTGAATTAAAAATTTTAAATTTTTGACTTTAGTGTTTTTTTTTTTGTTCTTTTTTTTTTGTTTGTTTGTTTTTTCTGTTTAATGCGTGGCTTCATCCGAAAACCCTGTAATACACAGCAATGACCACTGGGTGTCACTGTGGAAACATTTAATGTTCAGTGAAATCTTTTCTATTTAGCTGCAAAACTTAAAATACAATCATTATAGAGATGAAGCACATTTTTCTCCAAACAACTAAATGATGTAAATCAAACTAGATGGATGAAATTTAAGTCAAAGTTTTTAAAGAGTTTGTTTTGCCAAAATAATTGAGCTCTACTTTTGTCAACCAATTAGGTTTTGAGTAGGTTTTGTTGAGCTGGATGTTTAAAGTCTTGATTAAAACAGTTTGTTTTGTACCTTTTTTAAGATTTAATATTAGAAGCTGTTTATGATAATTTGTTATAAGGTCAGTTATTGAATTTTGTTTACATTTTTATTACATTGCTGTGCCAATATTTAGATGTGAATGTGTTGAATCAGCAGAATTTTGTATGATTTATCCTATGTGACCTCCCACAGATGGGCCTGTGGCGTTTGTTAGAAATGAAACTCTCCCCCTCCTTACTAGAAAAAGAGTCGTCTTTCTTTTTTTGTGTGTACATCAGCGGTGACGCGTGGTTTGGAGTGGGCAGGATATCATACAGAATTGGGGAGCATTTTTCACACGTGGTTTCTTACGGTAAACAACGCGTCAGGCACGGCTCTGCCACTTCACCAGTACCTCAGCTTCAAGTGGCTTTAACAAGTGGTTTCTCACTTTAGTTCAAGTCCCGGTTTATACAACTAAACTTTGATCGTTCTGCTCACGTTTTTTTCTTTTTTAGGTTTTGCCTTTTTTATAGGCTAAATTTATTTTAAATGTTGCTTCGCTTTTCACTGGATTATTCCAAAGTCACTTAAAATCAGCACACCTAAAAATAAATGTTAGACTTTTCAGGGTAGTTTGCTTTTTAAATTTAAATGTTGTMTTTTTTTCTATTTAGTTTCTTTCTTTTCATACTTTGCATTGAATGATAATTTTTCCAGAGTATATGAATAKAAATTACATCCTTCTTATAAAGCGCCATGTTAAATTGTATGTCCGGGTTTAGTTTTCTAGAAATAAGCGTGACGTAGAGAAATGTAAAACTTTCCGATGCCAAACATGGAAATGTTTCGGGTCATTTGATATCTCGTACATTAAAAAAACACAAACCTTCATTTAAAAATCGTTCACATGTTTATTCAGTGCAGATACAAAACTAGCATTATAATTTAAAGGTTTCACAAAACAACACACAGCTTTATTATGAATATTTACAAAGTATAGTAAATATAGCTACATAAAATCTTTATTTTTACACATTTTACTTACATTTATGAAAGCTTGTTTTTTTAGTTTACAATGAAACTGGTCATTTCTCTTCCCTCTGGAGTTTTATTAATTACGATGACATCGCTTTACAAAAAAAAATCCACAGGTTTCTTTTTGACTGAACAAAACGATTTCTCTTTAAAGAGAAGACATAGTTTATAGCTGTAACCTTTCGCTGCCATGTTCCAGCCGATTAAACCAAAGAAGAAGGAAAAAAGGCGTCAACAAGCCTCCTGTCAGATTTTATTGCTTTCAGGGCACTTATCATGTGTCGCTACATGTGTTGWGAAGGACCTCCAAAGCTGAAGCCACCCAGCTCAGCTCTCCGGCTGACGTCTTCAGAACGTCTCTGGCCACCGAGCGTCTGATGTCCCAGCATCAGCGCTGACCAAAACTCACATGGCAGAAATTATATGGCTTTCTTTTTTAGGGCGTGGGTGCTTCAGGGTTCATAACATGTTATTATACTCTACAAAGACAGCAGGAGATAAGGATAAATCTAATAAGGCTTCTCTCCTCTCAGTCTGGGTAGATTTATGTAAAACATCTGCACGCTGTCTTGTAGCATTCTCATTTTTTCACTCGTAAGTTTCTTTACTTTGGTTTCAGAGGAAATATCTTCTAATACTGACCTTGTTCGGAGTCTAAAGCCCCATCTTCACTACGTTAGATRTATTCAAAACCTCTATTTCTGCTACTCTGGCAACTTCTGTCTTCACATACATTCTCAAGAGCACTTAAATATGCATTTTTTGTGCATGTCTGCTGTCACTTTGTTTTATAAAAATTAAAAATTTAAGTTGATTATTTTCTATCTGTTTTGCTTTGCTTTGTTTCATAAAAATCACGTCCATTTTTGATCACGTACTGAAATGGTCAACAAAAATGGATCTAAATAATTGTTTTCGTCAGGTGTAGCCAAGCTAAGAATGTTCTCGCTGTATTATGGACATTCTCGCCAACTAGTGGTGCATCACGAGTATTTCAGCATTTTTGTTAGAACAATGAAAACAGGAATTATCTGGAGTGGACAGGGCAAAAGACAACAATAATGCTAGTTACTCAATCTTTAGCTACCAYTAAAACATAAAAAATGTAATGCTTGGTTTAAAAAAAGTCATTTCTCCCAGTTCCGACATTGATCACAAACATGAAKCAGTTTATGAAAATAAACCTGAAGAGATTTCAAAGTGCAACARAGACTTTTTGCTCCTTCCCACGTTTTGACATTTCGAAGCACCTAAAGGCTGAGACTGAGTGTCATATCCTAGAAATCCTGGGATAAATGACYTTAATGGTGGAGGGTGTAAAGTTACCGGAGGAAACTGTCGTGTCCAGTCCCTCCAGTCTGTGAGAGGCTGCGTCTGTTTTAGTGGTGCTGAAATCTAAGAAGGCCATTCCGAATCTCTTCATCTTCCCGTCTTTGGTTAGGAGGCAGTGGCGGCACAGCAGCTTGAGGATGGCCTTCCTCATGTCCTTGCTGGTCAGCGTGTAGATGATGGGGTTGAGGAGGGAGTTGACTATGGCCGTGCCCAAGAAGTAATCAGCCTTATAGAGCACGTTGCAGCCTCTGACCGGACAGAAGAAGTCCAGCAGGAGGAGGGCGAACAGAGGAAGCCAGCACGCAATGAAGACCCCCAGGACGATGGTGACGGTCTTCAGCAGCGCCATGTACTTCTGGGACTTGCGATAAAGGCCTTTCCTCTGTGGCACCGAGGCGAGGCGTTGGGTGTTGGCCTTGACGATGCGGAAGATGCGCACGTACAGCACCACGATGGACAGGAGGATGGCGCTGAAGATGGTGATGCAGAAGAGGATGTAACTTTTGGCGTAGAGCGGCAGAACGGTGGAGCACTTGTCCAGCTGTCCGATGCAGTTCCACCCCAGGACGGGCAGGACCCCCAGGAACATGGAGAGCAGCCAACTGGCTCCAATCAGTAGGAACATCCGACCCTGTTTATTCCCTTGGTACGGCTTCATCCTCACCATGGTGACATGGCGCTCAATGGCGATGGCCAGCAGACTGATGACCGAAGCAGCCAGCATGATGAACACACACCCCTCCCTCAGGAAATACAGCACTGGGGTCATGTTGAATGTGTTAGCACCAGACGTTATAATGTTTATCATGTAGGTCAAACCTGCGAGCAGGTCTGAGAGAGTCAGATTGCCCAGTAAATAGTACATGGGAATATGGAACTTCTTATTCTTCCAGATGGCCACCAGCACCACTGTGTTTTCTGCTATGATAAGCAGGCAGATCAGCAGGACAGCTATGGCCTCGCCTGTGAGTCCAGCCTTGTACTTGCTCGCRTTCAGCTTGCCTGTGTAGTTGTAGTGCTCGACGATGACTTCTTTGCTCTGGTACACGCTAAACATACTAATCTCTCCTCCCGAGGAAGCCATGGGGACAGGAGACGGRGCTACAGCAGCCTTGGTGGTAAAGAAAGAGTCTGTGGTCATTGYTGAGAAGCCCTGGGGGCAAGACTTTCTTCTGAGGGTTTTTCTAATTTTAAAATTAGATCCAAAAAACCAGACATCAGATAGTCCTGAGGTTGTGCATTTTTCCGTGTCTCTCGGCAGGTACGTTAGCAGTGGAAAACGTGTTCCTTTTGATGAAGTCACARTCTTTCTTGTGGTTTCAGAAGTTTCCTTTTTTAAAACGCTCCTTTCTTTTTTTACTGACTGGGACACTTGCTAGTATGAGGGCCAACCTGCATAACACAAAGAAAAGAGAAAAAAAGTATATTAAAACATCTTAAACATCAGAATTGAACAACTAAACCAGCTTTGACGTTAAACTGGATGAATGAAAACAACATTTAAGCTTAAAGGGAAGCAAAACGTAGCTCAGTTAAAACTTATTTTTATTATTTGTTCTTAGTGTAAGTTTTCCATTTTTTTCCTKCTAGTTACTGTTTAGATTCACAACTTATATAATAATGCAACAATTTAAGAGTAGTTTATAATTAAACAATCCAGTTCCAAACTCGTATGAGTATTTTTTTTTCTTTAACGAGCAGCTGTTTGTGCGCAATTACGCATCGATAATACAAAYGTGACACATTATTTCCCTTTTTATCTGATATGTATCAGCTCTGTTTGAAACTGCAAACTTACAGTAGAAAATATCACCTCATTTAGGCTTTAATAGTAAGTCAGAAAGCAATTCTTCATAGAGAAAACGCGACAGAGGTTCCRTTTTTGTGGAGCTGATCAGGCGCGTAAAAGCTCCGGAGAAAAAAACGTGAATTTGTCCACTCACCTGAGCAAACGTCCACAGCGTATTTCCACCGACAGAGAAGTTCGTCCAAACGCGATCCTTCAGCAGGAGGGGAGCGGAGGAGCGGAGGCTGGTGTGTCGCTCAGCCCGCGCGCAACCACAGTGTGATGTGGGAACAGAAGGGCAGGACTAAACATGCAGTGGGTTGGTCCACCACAGTTTGTGCCCCTCAAACCATCCCCCTCCTTCTCCTGACCCCCTGCAGTTCCCCCTTTCTCTTTCTGTTTTGATTGTATCCAAGGTGAAAAGATAAGAGCAGAATCTCACCGTCCGCACCCCCCCCCCCCAAAAAAAAAAAAAAAGGTTGTAGGCTGATGTTTCAAAGCCAAGCCCCATTTCTCCTTGTTTTTATCCAACCTGCTGAGGAGGTGCAGTAATGAATGCATGCTGCTCTACAGGTTTGACATATTCCCACAAAATCACTCCCATCGAGGGAAAACAGAACCACAGAGGAGCATTTCAGGACTAAAAAAAAAAAAAAGTTCATTTGTCAAAGAGGGGAGAGAAAAATCCCTCATTTGTAGAAAGTGGTGCATCTGGGTCTGTTTTGCAGTTCAAAAAACCCCACATTTCAGAAAATAACTTGCTCAGATGGGCTTCATCTGTAATTATGCTTTAGCTCACACATCAAAACTTACTTTTTTTTAACAAACCATTTATAGGGCTTGTTTTTAAAACGCCACTCCAGGCATATTTCAAGACATAACCGCAAATCTGCTGTAAGTAATAATGTGTATGCTAGGGTTAAATTTAGGATGACATATTGCCCGACCGTGTTGGTGAAAAAAATCCAGACATTTAACACAGTTTTATTTATTTATATATTGTGTCCATTGTGTGGTTCTCAACAAATATGTTACATCAACCCAATAATGACACTGAAGCTCCAGATTATCTTTCTTTAGTTATTTTTCYTACAGTTACATAATGTCATCCTTACATATTTGACCTTATCATTATGTGTTAACACAGCAAACACAACCTTACAGATGTTTGAAAAGGAGTGSGATGGTGGTGGGGTGTCTGTGGGAAGGTTGTGTACAATTACAGCTTCCATAATGCCGAAAACTGCTTAAACAACCTCAATTTGGAGAAATAGAGTTGACTGATGAGCTAAAGGCTAGTCCAAAYAAGGCCAAAACCAATTTTGGGTTTAGAACTTCAGACTAGAAGATTTCCTTGTAACTCATGTTTTATAAACTTCATGTTAATTTCACGATACTTGAGTATTTACATATAATTTATGGTAATTTTACACCCTTTTGAACAAATATAAAACATAACAGATGCAGATTTGACAGTTGTGTAAAAGTTTGTTAAGCAGCGTTGTCATGAACCACTGGATTTTTTTTGTTTGTTTATTTGTTTGTTTACTTGTTTTCAGACAGCAGCAGTGCATTTTGGTTAGCCGTTATCCATTAGCTCATCAGTCCAATTTCCCCTAGGTGTTCACACTTCTTGTCCACATGCAAGGAAAGATTTGGATGAGAAAAACTGTTTTTTAAAAAGGCTTTCTAAAATGGAGTGTAATGAAAAAAGTAATCCTAACACCAACTTTCATAAACACTGACGTAGCCCCATATTTTATAGATGCACATAATATTTTCCTTTTTTAAGGCTCCCTGTTTTTGAAGARCCATTAGCTGAGCTACAAATAATTCTTTGTATTTTAATACATGGGAACAGTCTCACCATCGAATTAAATAACATCGGTGTTTCACAGTTTTTGTTCAGAATCGTGAGAATGGATATTTTTATAAAAGTGGCAGGAAAAATATCTGAAGTAATACAAACAGCTCTTTAAACATGTTTTCTCTAAACTGGCAAATCAGCATAAATTTTTAAAAAGCTTCTTAACACCATGTTTGCATGTTTCCATTGCAATTGTGCGAAAAACTGTCGATATTCTGTTAGTGTCGAAAAACACAATTTCGCAACTGCGGTGTTTCCAATAAGTAAGATCGCGTGAATATCTTTGTTCTTGCGATAAATCATTACAAACATGGCGGCAATGGATGTAAACACAAACATGAGATATATTAATGTTGCTACCACGGTACTGGTGCTCATCATCATCCATCAGAGAAGACATCAGCGTCTTATCGAGGCTTTCGAGCGACATGCCTCTCATACTTGGGAGCGAATACGTATGTGGTGTTTTTGGGAAATTGTAGTCAGTGATTTTACTACTTTCTTTTACTACTTCAATGATAATTTCGATACGGCCCGAAAACAACCATATCCTAGTGCAAAATCATTTTGTTGAAAAGCATAAGTTTTTTCGAAATTGAAGTGTTTCCGTTTAGGAAATTTATTTTTGAAATTCTAATTTGCGTTGCATTTGATTTCACTCTGGTGCCGGGGCATTTCCAAAAACCTCCACTCTGAGACGTTGATTCAAAATGCTTTCATGTCAGAGAAAAATGACTCCTGTTGTCGTCTAGGCCAGAGGCTCTCAAACTGGGGTCCCTGGATCCCCAGGGGTCCGCGAGAGGTATCTTGGG